GGCAAGGAAGAGAAAAAGAATTAACATGATCGAAGCAGGCCAATGAGCGCGGTGAAGAACTGGTATCGTGCTGCCATCCAGAAAGCAGAGTACCGGAAGATCGAGGGGATCGGGGAGAATAGTGTCTATGCAAAGTGACCGAAGGTCTACGAGACGAGCTATTAGGATAGCAGGTTGACAGAGAGATTGAAGGCGTAGGTGAAGTAAGAGAGAATTCTGCAGAAGCCTCGGTATCCTGGGTATAATAAAATATAATAAATGCTTAAAATAGAAAGCTAAGAGCAAAGTGGGAATTAACAAGATATTTAGTAAGCCATAAAAAATAAGTTAAAAATGCGATTGGCATGGAATTTATTAAGAAAGGACTGAAAGCTTACTATAAACAAGATACAAAAAGGATACATCTCAGAGAACGTTGTTTAATGATGAATAACGGGGTGTAAAATTGTGAATCTTAGATAAAAGCTTGCTTAATTTTATAAATACACCAACACATAAAAGGACAAATAGTTATGTATGAAGAATAAATTTGCCATTTAACTTTACGATCATTCCAAAAGAATTTGCGAATCAGTCTTGCTTTGGAGCTGACTGGTGATTTGAGCGAAGAAATCCTGAACATTCTTAGACATTTTAAGATGGCGAATTTTATTAAAGAATGCATTAGTGTTGAGATGATTTTAACATAAGGGGCAGTATGAGGACTTCTCCAGCATAGAATAAGTCACAACGCCAAAGACACATTCCTTCGGTGAGGTCAATTGACAAATCCCTGCCGGTCAAATTTCTACGTGAAATAAAAAGTCAAATCAGTGTTTTAGCTAAATTCTCAAGTCACATTGCGATGACATTTCCAGACGATAAAAATTGTAAAATATAATAAAGCAAAAAAAGGAATACGAAAATATGATCGAACTTGTGTGTGAATAAGCGGTGACCAGCGAAGACAATCTTCATCAATAGTAATCCAACCACGAGAACGCTGATCAGTCTTCGCTATGAGCTCAAGCAAACGACTTTCCTTAAAGGTCAGAATTGGCCTGTCAAATGAAAAGCAAAAACATAATAAACGCAACGAAACGTCATCTCACTCATATTATTGTGAGAAAATTCAACTAACAAACCTTCATCACCTTAAACGAAATAGGATGAACACAGCTCATATATCTGATTTACTGGTAGTCTAGAAAATCTACCCAAAACGAAAAATAAGGATAGATTATGTACTCAGTCACTCGCAATGGATGCACTGACTACAGGTACCTGCAATATTTCGACAGTATACAAAAGAATTCAATCGGATTTGTGATTTAATGGGTTGAGCATAACGAGGAATAAAATTATGGGAAAAAAGCATATTAAGATTGTTTTTGTGAGTTAGAGAGAATGAATTAAAGTTCAAAATACCAAAAAAAATTGCTGTTGTCTCGGGACATAAATAGGATATCCCGAAAGTTGTGGGCAAAAAACAGGAGGTATGGTAGGTGCAAGATATTAAATAAAAAAGTAAAGCACTTAAAACCCAGTATCCAGGTTAAGTAGTGTTATATAAAATTATATTGGAATACTAACCAAAGTGGTCTTAACAAATCTTTCCCCTTATCATTGTCTCTATTGAGAAATATTCTATCCTGCCTACATAACAGCGCCAATTCCCGGAGATTAAAGTAAGTGCATCACGTTGCTGAAACCTTATATAGCATACCAACAAGCAAGGTTTACATAAGCTAAACAGCTTAACTCCCAAAGGTATATGATGATAAATTTTAAACCAAAAGTTTAGATGCACACAACTCATATTTTTCTGGGAACGAAAAAATAGCGGATGTACTCGCAATGGATGCACTGACTACAATTATCTGCAGCATTTCGATAATCGGGCTAGGGTTATAAG